TTCCGCCGCCAAGTCGGTCCCATGAGCGCTCTGCCCGACCGTTTCCGCGAGGTGCGTTGACTCTGAAAAATCTCTAGGGACGTTTGCTATCTTGTTTAAGAGGCTCATTAGTTCACCTCTAGGGCTTTGACATCGTTTCGCACTCCATAGAGTTCGACAAACAGTTTGTCGAACTGATCAGCTTCTGGCGGGAGCGCCTCGAGGGTGACCCAAATGTGAAGCTATGTGAGCCCACGTCTGCAGGCTTGGCGTGGAATTGCTGCTGAGTGCTCTTGTCTAGGTCCGGTAATCCGTTACCGTTGCCACAACTTTCGCATGTAAGTCCACAACACCTTTTTCAGCGGTACTCAGTATTGACTGGATCGTCAGGATAGCTTCGTATCTTCGGCTCGTCATTTTATCGGTTGGATTTCAGTATCGCCTCAAACAGGGATTAACACGTGGAGACTATATAGTGGAAGAGGTATGCCGCCCACCGCCACGGAGATCAAACTCTTCTGACGAGTGGCCAGTCCGTAAAAGTTGCGAAGGACGGCATTCGAACCGTGATCGAGCTCTTATGGCCTTCCGGCTTTCTAAGCTGGGCAATGGAAGCCAACTTCTTGTATATGGCTTTTTGCGCCGGTTTCTTGCTCAACGTAAGCACGAATCCCACTTCGCGCCTACAAGCGATCCCTGAAATGCGCCCGTCAGCTTCTTCGTCCGAAACTCCTGCCTCTTCTCGACGCAGAGCATTGTCGGGACATCGTCAAGCTCGTCAAAGAGCTCATTGCGATCATCAGTTCGAAGGAGGTCATTCTCGACGGGCGGCACTCACCTGCGTTGTACTCCAAGTTCCTCATCAATCTGCTCGAGAAGTACTACACTCCAGCGCTACGGGATCGAATCGGCTCTGCCGAGTCCCCGCCACAGCACTCGGGCGACGAAGATCGGTCGTCGGAGGCGTACTCGTGGCCGGATAGGCCGTCCCACGAGCCGACTCCGGGCCCGGAGCCAGACGAGGGCCAGTATGGCTCACAGGGCGTACCCGTCGTGCGCGAGCAGGATGGAGACGCGGAGATGGATTTCAGCCTTTCCCACTTCGTAGAAAGCGCGCTTCCACCTCCCAACCCAGCACCGCCGCAACAGGGCTATTGGCCGATGCCAAACACGTCCGCCGGGACCGCAGGGACGTATCCTATGGACCCGATGCAGTGGCAGTATCCGTTCAGCTACCCGGCCATATTTGACATGGCATCCCCACCGCAACACCTCCAGAGCTACTGAGCGCGCCTCGCGTCTCGCAATTTATTGGCAGCGCTCCTTCACCTCAATTATTGCCCCAGCCGCCAATGTTTCTTCGCCGGTGGTTTGGACCGTTGTCCACATATAACCTCTGTAGCAATAGCTAGCATAACATAAACTTTAATTCATTTGTCGCGAAGTGCGACCTTCCCGTTTATGGCCGCTGCAGCTCGTCGAGAGTCTGCGAGTAACTTCTGCTGCCTCAGCCTGCCTGTGAGTATGCTCGTGGCGCACGCTCACGTAAGCGCCTGACGTGCGCCAAGTTCACCGACACTGACCAAATAGGGATCAACACTGCTCTACCCCGTACTCTCACCTATACCAAAAACCCAACGCGAACTTTCCTCCACAAGGAACGATACACAACATGGGTCGTCTCGCAGAGATGCAGAGGAAGCTCCTCGAGGTACGTACCAAGCCCCTTGCTCCCTGCCTACGTACTGACCTCTCCCCAGCAAATGATGGGTCCAGAGGCTATGGGTGTCGCAAACGCGAACCTGACATGGTCGGACGAGAAGGTCTGCCGCAACTTCCTCTGTGGAACGTGCCCGCACACTCTGTTTACGAACACGGTACGTCCCCGCTTTGACCACATCACGTATTGTACTGACGTCGTTCGCGTTTACAGAAAATGGACTTGGGTGCCTGTCCGAAGTCGCATACCGAACGCCTGAAGACGGAGTTCCTTGCAGCACGCGAGGCAGACCCAAACAATCCCATCTTTGCACGCTTCCAAATGGAATACGAGTCCAACATCTTCGCTTTCGTCGACGAATGCGACCGCAGGATTCGAGCGGCGCACCGACGGCTGGAGAAGACACCAGAAGAGAACGCGAAGACGACGAACCTCATGCGTGAAATTGCAGAGATTGAGCTTGCAATTCAGGGTGGTACGGAGAAGATCGAGACCCTCGGCGAAGAAGGGAAGGTGGACGAGTCCATGAGGGAGATGGCCGCCATCGAGGCCCTGAAGAGCGAGAAGTCGGAAAAGGAGGTATGTCAATCAGCCTGCTCTTTGTATGCGTCTACTGACCCAAGAACAGCGAGAGCTGCAACAACTGACAGACACCTCCGGCGCATCCGGTCACCAGAAGCTCCGTGTCTGCGACGTCTGCGGCGCCTACCTATCCGTCCTCGATTCGGATCGTCGTCTCGCAGACCACTTCGGTGGTAAGATGCATCTTGGGTACCACGAACTCCGGAACATGCTTGCGAAGTTCAAGGAGGAGCGTGAGAAGCGCAAGGCGGCACCCCCACCGGGTGGCGCTCCAGGCGGGTCCGTGCCTCCAGGTGGTCCGCCGCGCGGTGGCGACCGTGACTATAGGTCGTCTCGGGACGACTATAAGGACCGAGACAGAGGATATGAACGCCATGGTTCATCTCGCTACGAGTAAGCAACCTAATTCCTATCCTGCAGTCTTCATACTGACACGTTGGTTTTAGTGACCGTCGGAGAGAACGCTCTCGCTCCCCAGGAAGGAGGAGATACTGATTGCCGATGGATGTATTTTATGTGTTATTCTTCTACCTCTGGTGTCGGCTCTTGTCGCTGTGTAGTCCAGTCATTCCTTACACTCCTGTGAGTGAAGCTGAACGGGCATCTGGCCTGCTGAAGTGATACTTTCTGTGCTAATGTGTAAAGCCCTTGCGAGCTATATACCTCTCATGCGACCTATGTATATTTGTTGACTGTCAGCACTCAGGCTTCAAGCTTCAAGGGCAGGTTCGCTATGGCTTGGGGCCGCGTAGTTAGGTCAACTCAACGGCCGTATTGCTCGAGTTCGACCCTTGGAGGGACCACTCAATAATGTATCGCTTCGAGACGCGGTATGAACTTGATTGAGGACTTCAGGCTGGAGCGTGAGTACGGGAGTCTCAAACGGCCTAGGAACGTCAGTTATGTGGAACACATTTCTCATGCTGCTCAGCCACTGTGATTCCTGAGCTCGCGCCGTCGCTCCAGTCTGCCTCGACAATATATCATACAGTAAGGTGTTGCGTGTGTGTCCCTATTCGTGTAGATCCTCAACAACAGAGTGTAAGCCACTAGTCCTCTCGTACCATTGACCGCCTGATGTTGCTGCTGGTCTGTGACCTTGCACTAGATTGACTGTGCAGTTCTCTCCATACTCCTCCAAGAAGAAGGAATAAAGAGAAAGCACTGTACAGAAAATCTGTAGGTGTATAGAATTAAGGCTCCAACCGTATAGTATACGTGTACGAAATTTTTGTACACTCACAGTACACAGTACACACACAGTTGTATACAGTATATACACAGTACACATGTAGTTTTCCGGGGAACTCTGCCAAAAGGGCCCTGGACATCTACTACTTATGACCTACAGCATACAAGGGCAAGCACGGCTTAGCAGCATCCAAAGCCTTCTGCGTGCCTCGCTATCAAGGGTGGGTAGCCGCCGGTTGACTGGCCCCCATGCTCGGTTAGACGGCGTCGCGAGGCGGCGGCGCGGCGAGGCTATCCGGATCTGAGTCTGAAACTCAGACTCGGAAGCTTGAGGTCCAGGGCATGCGCGGGGCACGATGAGCGACGTCGACTGCGACGGGCGGTTCGAAGTTCGAACGCGGTGCCTTGCATCGGAGAGCGCAAGGCGAGCGTCGGTGAACGATCCTGGCCGCGCGCAGGACCGGGCTTGTCGAATCCATGAAGTCCAGCGTTCGTGCACGACCATAGGAAGTACGGCAGAAAGCCTCCTCTGCACGCCGGAGCGGGCGGTGGTAGGACAGTAGCTAGGCTCGCTCGCTGCCACGCGCGATATCACCATCACCGAGCGGTGACCACGAGAGTCGACACGTTGAGGGCCTGGTTTGGATTGTTCCCAACCTGGTCCGAGTCGGTCTCTTGCAAGCTGTCTCGCTCGGGTAGCTCGAGCCGCTCAAGCGCGTTGACCATGAGCTCTGTCAAAGGCAGGGTACGACGAGTGCTTGAGAAAGAAAACGGCGTCGCATCGCAGGACAGAAGCAGCGAGGCTAGTGAGGCGTGCCGGGTGCGCATGCAAGCAGGCCCGGTGTCGATACACCTGAGGCTCAATGAGCTGCGCATGAGAAGAGGAATATATGCAGGAGTCTCGAGGGGGCTCACCGTTGAACACTTGAACGCTTTGGCCCTCTTCACACTCGCCGTGTATGTCGCCACATTCGAGACTCGTACAGATCTTGCTGTGAGCGTTCATTCAGAGTTGAATCGTCGAAAGGATACTCGGCATGCAGGACTATGGTGGCTATATGCGGTCCAAGGCCCTGTTGATGTCTGGATGGCTATGCATACTGTCACAGAGGCTCGGTCTGAGATCTGAACGCTGACAAGCAAGCTTACGGTCCACAGATGGTGGTTCAACGTGAACACTTCGGCGTCTCCGAAGTTCACGCTTGCTCCACTCGCTCGAGGGCCTCCGGGGATGAGGTTGAGGCCGCAACTTAGTGCATTGCAACCAACGACGTCTTTCATACACAATTTCTGACCCTGATGACAACGATCCAAGCGTTCATGCTATGCTTGTCCATGAATTCGTGCAAAACTGTGTGTGTACTGTGTAGTATACGGGTAGTCAATGTGTACGGCCAAGACCGTACACTCACAGTACACGTATACGGTTGTACACGTATACTCACAGTACACTCACTATACGGTTGGAGCCTTATATAGAATACAGTGTCGACAAAGATTCATGACTAGGGAAAAGTATAAATAAAAATGGTCCCTCCGAGGGTCGAACTCGGGGCCCTTGCATCACGACTATTGCGTAATTCTCAGGAATACGGCGTTTGCCGAGGTATCCACATAAGTACAATGCTCTACCACTGAGCTAAGGGACCGTTGTCAAATTCCGAAAGCAAGCCATTCTAGAGACGGTAGCAATAGGCCTAGGAAAGAGCAACACCATTGCAGAGGACTTGGTGGCGCTCGAGCATGACACAGGACCTGGACGCAAGAAAGGTGCACTGGCGAGCGTTCTACCCGATGAGAAATAATTCACACAAGTACAAGTGTATCGCTGACCACGTTCCCTGCCAAAACATTCCCCGATACATCCGACAGGTCGTGCTCACGCGCTCCGTGGCACATCTTCCTCGTGCAAGCCACCAGCGGAGATACGAACGACCCTCGTGGCGACCCGCTGACCCTGCTCGTCCGAATGCGTGATCCAGATCAAGGCCTTCAGTCTGCCCTTCCCCTCCCGTACTTCATCCAGCAGGTACTTCTCGACTTGTTCGGACGCAGCAGCGTCCAGCGCGGAAGTCGGCTCTGAGGTGCGCGTAAGCATGACGAAAGCCAGCAGACGGTCAGCACATACCGTCGAGGAGCAAGATCTCGGCCTGTCCCAGCCCCACGGCTGCTGCGAGAGCAATTCTTTGCGCCTCTCCGCCGCTCAGGTCGCCCCAGGTCCGGTCCCAGAGCTCTTCGTCGATGCCCCACGCCTTGCCGACATCTACCGCCTTCTCCGTGTTAGGCCGCGCGTCGACTTCTGCGGGGTCGTGCCCGTCACGCTGGTCCTCTTGGTCTGCCGCTTTCCGGCCGAACCGGAACCAGCTCGACATGCCCGAGCCTGAGTGCCGGGCACTGAAGCCTGCGACAGTGTTCACGAAGTCTCTGGGTGTGCCGGGCAGCAGCGAGGGCCGTTGTGGGACGTAGAGGACGTGCGTTCGATAGGTTGGTATGCCTGAATGTGCCTGGCGTTAGGAAGCCAATGCAGGAACGCGCAAGACGCGTACCGTAGGACTGCGGTGTTCTGCAGATTCGTGAGGACTGACCCCAGGAGTGTTTGACCGTGTACTTACTTTCCTCGGTACGAGATGGAGCCCTCATACAGGTTGAGGTGCGATATGCATTTCAGAAGCGTCGTCTTCCTATTCAGTGCCATGAAAGCCTGGTTAGTTTCAGCAACCACGAGTCCAAGCCATTCTCCAGGGTTGTGACACTCACCCACTGCCGCTCTTGCCACGCAGGACAATCACATCGCCAGACTTGACCACAAGGTTCGCATGGGCAAAGATGGGCTGTCCCGGGGCCTTGTAGCAGCCGACGTCTTTCATTTCTAGGAGAGGTTCTTGAGACATGTCTTTCTGTAGAGCGGGTGTCAGTGTTCAAACTGCGTGCCCCAGGATAGCAGGGTAGTAGGAGATGGTAAACAGAGGGTTGGGATTGCACACGAGCGGCAGGAGGACGAGTACACCTGCGCTCACCGTCAGCCGAGTCAGCTCCACTACGTCATCACGCGCCCCTGGTGCGGCCCTCAGGATTTCGCGTCCCATGCCGAGCTAGGAGAGTTTTGTGCAGAGGCAAGTTCCCAAACTTGATGCTGCGCGACATGGCGTATATAGCTCGACGGTGTGGGAAGCCAATAGCTGTCCGCTGCCAACGCCCACGCGCAGAGTTCTTGGTGTTTCTCACCGCCGCCGAGGTTAGGGTTGTGCCATTCCGGGAATTTTTCGGGCGCCCGAGGGCGGTCCCAAGCGCGCTCTCGCCGACCGTCACACAGAGCCAAACACTCACCTTTCCTCCGGGTGGTTCGTGTCATCGCCAGCCGTTTTTGCCTTCCGCCCCGACACGTCCGTCTCGTCCAAGATGGCGTCGCCGCCGATAGGCATCCCGCCGACCGCGCCCATCGTCTCAAAAGAAGAGGTCCCCGCTGGCCCGTCGAGCTCGTCGGGAGCTGCGGGAGGCGTGTTTGCGCCGGTGACCAACCTCTACAACCGCCTCCAGGGATGGAGGCAGTCGCTCGACCTCCCGAACCCGGGCTCGGTCGAGAACATCCAGAAGGAGGTCAAATGTGCGTGCTCTCTCGCCGTTCGCGCAGTGTAAATGAGCTGACGACATGTTCATCTGCGTCCCTTGCCTTCGCGATTCATTCACGCCCATGACGTCTCGCCACCGTACACCTCGACGCATTCGACCATGTCCGATTCGGGTGATCAGCGACTCTCTTGAACAACTTCTTCTTCGACGGTGCTCGCGCGGATTTGACCAAGGCCCTGTCGATGAACCCGCAGTTCCAGGTCACGCACTCGTTTATGCTCGGCAGCCAAACGATGCCACCATCGTACAACTTCGGTGCCGTGTACGCAACAGAAAAGGTGCGTCCGCTATGCCGTGTACAGGATAAGCAAAGACTGACCACCCGCTTCTACCCACTCTCGCCACTCGCATCATGTAGACTCTCCTGCAAGGTGGTGTGGACAATGAAGGAAGCCTGAACGGCCGTCTTCACCAGAACTGGAGCGCTTCTAACCTTAGCAAGATTCAGCTCCAGGTGCGTGTCACGCTTTCAATAAATACCAACGTCGTGCTAACACTGCGACGCGTGTTCGTCCGATAGCTCTCGAGCACCCCTGGGCACAGTGTTATGCAAGCCGAGCATGACTACCTTGGTCGTGATTACTCGGTCAACCTCCGGGCAGCGAACCCATCACCCGCCGACTTCACGGGCATTTACACTGCGTCCGTGCTGCAGTCCGTCACCAAAAGCATTGCCGTCGGTGTCGAGGCGATGTTGCAGCGCCCGCAACCGGGCCTGTCCGACGTTGGCCTGCAGTACTACGCCAAGTACACGTCACCGGTCTTCAACAAGGACCAGGGCTGGATCGCGTCCGCGATGGTCCAACCGCAGGGCATGGTGGACCTCACGTACTACCAGAAGCTCAGCGAAAAGCTGGACTTTGCTGCCCAGCTCCAGGTCGTCAACGTCCCGCAGAGGCGAGACGCGATCGCCACGCTCGGCGCGAAGTGGGACCTGAGAATGTCCACCTTCCGCGCGCAGCTCGACTCGAGCGGGAAGGTCAGCGCGCTGCTGGAGCAGCGCTTTGCACCAAGCTTTGCCTTCCTGTTCAGCGGTGAGATTGATCACTTCAAGGTGAGTGCAGCTGGTCCGTTCCCGTTGAATATCACTGACGCGACACGACCGTGCAGAACTCGGCGAAGGTCGGTGTCGGCGTGATGATTGAGAGTGCAGCGATGACCCCCGAGGAGATGGGCATGGTGCCTCCTCCGGGCTACCCGTACCCTCCCCAGTAATTGAGCAGCAGTCCACGCTTGCCAGCCATATGGGACAATTTGGTGATTACTGTACAGATGCCATTAGTTGTCGTGTCTAGAACTAGTCGATCCTTGCTTGAACACCGCTGCTCTCCCTAAACCCGCTGCGTGCATGGCTGCGATCGATAGAGGACGGAATTTGTCAGGGCGTGTATCGCGGCACCCTGGGGATGATTCTTGAAGGTCGAGGAGAACACTCGTGTGGTCCTGCAGGCGAGGATCGCCGTGGACAGGGAGAGAAACGACGAGCACCGCGCGGACAGGAGACCGAAGACGCTCGAACGGTCGGCGGGGCCAGGGAAGGCTCTGGGCGGCAGCGCTTTGGTGGGCGCCAGTGGCCACGTGTGGTGATATCAGGGCGGGAATGGCGTAGAAGGTGCTTGGAAGGTGCGAGAAACTGAAGGAACTCGCCCAACGCAGGCATGTATAAAAACCTGGCCTCCGTCGCTGCACGGCCCTCAAGCTGTTTTCATCTCATCGACGTCTATTTCCTCCTATCTTACGACCTTTCCTCTCTCCCGACTCCCTTAACGACCCTCACACGAAATGTCGACCTCCAAGGCTATCGGCATTGACCTGGGTACCACCTACTCGTGAGTTTTCTCGCTTGCGTATGCGCCTTCGACCCGCGTACTGACCACTCTTCTCCAGCTGTGTCGGTGTATGGCAAAACGACCGTGTCGAAATCATTGCCAACGACCAGGGTAACCGCACCACGCCCTCATATGTCTCCTTCTCCGACAATGAGCGGTTGATCGGCGACGCCGCCAAGAACCAAGTCGCGATGAACCCCCACAACACCGTCTTCGACGCGAAGCGTCTCATCGGCCGCAAGTTCGAAGATGCGGAGGTCCAGGCGGACATGAAGCACTTCCCCTTCAAGGTCATCAACAAGGGTGGCAAGCCCTACGTTGAGGTCGAGTACCGCGGCGAGACCAAGCAGTTCGTAAGTATTACCTGGTTCAGATCGCGTGCATTCGTGGTGCTGACCAGACTTTCTGTAGTCACCCGAGGAGATCTCCTCCATGGTCCTCCTGAAGATGAAGGAGACCGCCGAGGCCTACCTTGGCCAGACTGTCAACAACGCCGTTGTCACTGTCCCCGCGTACTTCAACGACTCGCAGCGTCAGGCGACCAAGGATGCGGGCACCATCTCGGGCATGAACGTTCTCCGTATCATCAACGAGCCCACCGCGGCTGCCATCGCCTACGGTCTCGACAAGAAGACCCAGGGCGAGCGCAACGTCCTCATCTTCGATCTCGGTGGAGGAACCTTCGATGTGTCGCTCCTGACCATCGAGGAGGGTATCTTCGAGGTCAAGGCCACCGCTGGTGACACTCACCTTGGTGGTGAGGACTTCGACAACCGCCTCGTCAACCACTTCGTCCAGGAGTTCAAGCGCAAGTACAAGAAGGGTAAGTAACTTTGGATCTGCACGCATACAGCCAGATTCTGACGAATTCCTCTACAGATCTCTCCTCCAACCCCCGTGCGCTCCGTCGTCTCCGTACCGCTTGCGAGCGTGCCAAGCGTACCCTCTCGTCCGCGACTCAGACCTCCATCGAGATCGACTCGCTCTTCGAGGGTATCGACTTCTACACCTCGCTCACCCGTGCCCGCTTCGAGGAGCTTTGCCAGGACCTCTTCCGCTCGACCCTCGAGCCCGTCGAGAAGGTCCTCCGCGACTCCAAGATCGACAAGGGCAACGTCCACGAGATCGTCCTCGTCGGTGGCTCCACCCGTATCCCCCGTATCCAGAAGCTCGTCTCCGACTTCTTCAAC